ACGACACCAAATAAGTGATAGGCTACAGAAAACCACACCTAAACATTTCAGGGCAGTGAACAGATCTGGCAAACTGAAACACTAGAACCAGGACAAGCTTTGCTCCATTCTACACAAAATCTCTAACCATTGTAAGGACAGACGAGAATTCACATGCAACAGAGGAAATAAATTATTTTTAATTTTTAAAAATGAAAAATATAAATCCTTATTAAACACTTCATTTAAAAATATGCAGCTTTATTTTTAAATGTAGTTATGCTCCAAGATGGCAGTTAACTTCATTGATATGTAAAAATGTTTAAAAAATATCAATACACTGGTTTGTAAGTTATATACTGACCTCAGCTAAATTTTTTACCAAAATTCTCAAATAACTGTCAAAAAGAGTTGCACATTCTAAGCCCACCATAATACTAAACATGGTCAATTTCAGAGCTAAAGGTGAAACATTCATGAAATATTAAGTTTTTGATGTAATGGAAGTCACAGGAGTGCTCGAATTTAAGGACAACTAAGTGATAAACCAGAAGTACCCCCCCTCTTTTTTTTTTTTTGCAGATGTTACTAATTTGCTCCAAATAGAGCAACTGTTTGGGAAGTATAAAAACTGAAAAGTTCATCTTTCTTTTCCAACCTATAAGGGAAATAGAAAGGTGATGAAGTTAACTACTAATATAGTTTTACACATTCTGTTTAACTATTTAACACATACTTCCAAATGCAAATGTTTAAGATGATTTTTGAAGAGAAATTATCTACAATGTTAAGCTTGTCTGTGCTAAATAAATATAACTGTTTCATTTGCTTAGACACATGTCATTCTAATGCAACAATATTTAAACATTCCTGAATCACCCAATGAATTGGAAAGGACTCATAATAACTGCACATAATCTTCATCTGTAGCATTAGAAAGTAATCATATCACTGTCCTTTATCTGGGCAATGGAACATTCTACAAATCCACGACAGAAGTACTAAGCTAAAAGTACTTTGAGAGTACGCACAGTATAATTTTTTAAGGAACATATATACATGAATATACAGAAAAAATGATTGTATAATCACTTAAGTATTAATAATGGCTGTCTCCAGGTGGTGGGATTATGAGTGATTTTGTTGTTGCGATGGGAAAGTATTCTCAAAATACCTAACTTAAGAACCAGAGTGCTATCACCAAATGAAACTATTTTGTCCTTTCCTGTCTTGACATTACACATTTTTTAAAGCTACCAACCAACATGAATTTGTCAGAGTGGCTACCCACATTCTGATATAAGAAAGATCTCTTCAAAGGTGGAAAAACAGCATGATTGTAGTCATAAAAGAATGATTTGCTCTAAAATTAAAAGCTGATAAGCAACTTAATCACTAGGCTTCCTATAGCTATATAAATCTATAGGAAAGTCAGTCTTTAACATCTCATCTTTAAAAATTTTTCTCCATTATCTTGCTTGCCAGTTTTTAGGTACTGTTCTTACACCAGTACGGACTGAATATTTTTGTTTCCATTCACAAATATTTCTCTCTTCACAAGCAACAGCACTGCTAATCAAAAATTGTAACACTTAAACCATTTAAGACTAAGCTTTAGATGTGTGGCTAATTATTTGGCAAAAATAAGAGAACCAAGAGTTTTTCATGTTAGCAGCAAATTAACTAGATCCAAGGGTCTTGATTTTTTGGAAGCCTTTGGAAGCCTGCATGTTAAACAGTGGTGATTTTTAAATTCTCAATGGAAATGGTGATGGCATTCACTGAACCAAACCAGTTAAAATTACAGTGTAGTGAGGACATGATATAAAAACAAAATTGTCAGTAAATTCCCATTTTTTCAAACATCACCAAAATATCTTCATAAATCAGAATATTTTCAGACTCCAGTATAGTTTTCAACCATAATTTTACCTAAGATACCTAAAAATAAAATGTGTGTACATACAACACATACATTTTATACTTCTTTACGTTATTGCACATTATTCACATTTACTTTTAAAAAGTCACATGGAGAAAATGTAAACTTGAAATAACATTAAATTTCACTGTTACTGGTCTGCTTTATTTCCAAAACATTGGAAACAAGCTGCACTTTCACTTATTACCTTACTATGCTTTGTAGAAAGCAATATGCTTTAGTCTTTAAGCTTTTAAGAAAATTAGAAATAACAAGATTAAATTCAAGTACACAAAATTCCTTTAGACTATTCTGGAATATCGATTTTTACATAGCACAAGTCATGATGAATAGATAAATCTTCCCATATGTTGATGGCAGAGTATAGAATTATAAGGAAAAGTGACAAAATTGAAATATGAAGTATCAAATCTATTCTGGGGAATTATCTTTAGACACCTGGCTTATTTAAATAAAACAAAAAATAGGCAAAATTTCCCAACAATCTTTAATTTTTTCAGTATTAAAATGCTATTTAATGTGCTTGTACAATTTATTAAGTGGCGACTAAGGCCCTAAAATAAGTGCTTCTCTTAAACATGAGTAGACAGACACTCTACTCCCAAGCTGACAAAGGCCATGCTTTTATAATAGTAGGTTTTGAAGGACAGCAGGGAAAAAACAAAAACAAAAAAAACAACTTACAGAAAACTTGGCATTTGGCTGCCCATTATTTAAAATCTCAATGGATTTAAGCAATTTAAATTATAAACTCTCATTTAATAAAACACCCACACAATGACAAGAATGAGACTTTAATCAGTTTTAAGTGGAGTTTATAACACTAAGAGATAAAGGGTTGTTAACAAACACAATAACAAATGGACATCTGATTGGTATGAGGCATTATCCTGTACACATCATATTGGGTTTTTTGTGTATCCTCAGTGCATAGCATTTACACACAGAGCCACTGCTGCACAGCACAAGAGTATCTGAAGAGGCTGAATCAGAGTAAGGCTGTTTAACAGACTGAAATTTTTAGTATATATATTCTATATGAAAACAGATTGAACTTTTGAACTGGCAGGTAGAAGGCAACTCTGCCAAACACTACAATTAAAGCCCCCACTTTAGTGCACAGTTCCACCCCTTCCATCTGCATGCATGACACATTAACAGTATTTAAAGGTAAACGAGACACTTTGTGGCAACCACAGCCATCGTTATGAACATATTGCACAAATTTTCTAGAACTAAACATGTAACTTGTACCCTACTTTTATTTTTTAAAGCTGAAACATTTGATGCTGCCGGTAAACTCCACTTAAGTTTATAACCTGTGCCACAGCAAAGAATGGTGATGCTATTTTTCAACTACCCTTTTATAATTATGGCAAAAATGTTCAAGAGGAGCTACAAAGGACTTGGGATGGTAAAGGGCCCACTTGTAAGCTTTCTTAAAAGTGATGCCTTCAAGTAACTTCAGACATGTAAGCTGCTGCACATCCAAAAAGTCTTAAAAAAACATTCCAGAAACTCCGAGAGATTACCTACAGAATGCATTTCAGGCTAATTATGAATACTGTCATAAATAAAGTTTTCATTAGGACTCGAAAACCTTTCAGTCATAGCAATTCTTGTCAAATTCTATGGGGATGGTAACTGAAATAAAGGAGAGTATGTATA